TGAGTCTGTAATCAAGAAACACAGTGGTAATTTGGAACTCGAAAAGGGTCTATTCAAGATGGCAGCATCTGATCACGTGACCAGTCACCATATATCGCCTTGTCCATCTCTTTTAGACATCTTAAGTCACAATCAGCTACATCGAGATGGAATCTTTTAAATTAAATGCATCTTCATTGCAATTAGCAAAGGCATACCTGGTCACTATCATCTGGAAAATATACTTTGTGGAAGATCTGTGTTGTCTTGTGCTGTGTTTTGAAACGAAAAATCCAAATATGAGAATACAGAAGACTAAACGAAGGGAAGAGAAAGAATTCGGGACATTTGGTTTTCTTGGCTTCCGCCAGTCAAAAAATACTAAATTCAAACAGTTGGAGATTTGAATGTAGGAAATTAACCGAACCGAGACGTCTAGAATTATATGCGCATCACGTAATTTAATAGTAATACGATAATGCGATAATATATATGTAAAAATACTTTATCATATAATCGTGTATACCTGAATGGCTTCTACTTCGACCAGATGAGGTGGGTACTTCCGCTGACCAACTCTGATTGTTTTCTGCAGGCGCATTAGGCAGTCATGTGCCAAAGGTTGTCTTATTCGCCAAGACTTGAACACTTGGTTGACCTCTCGGAGAAGCAAGGAACTAAAAAAGCAAATATGGATTGTTAACGATCGTATTTTCGGCGACGCGAGTGGAAAGCGTCTGCGCATGCGCATAGTCTTATTGTAGAAAATATGGAAATTTGACTTGCCTGAAAAATGGATTCATTAAATGACAAAGCATAAGATTAGTCCTTGAAACTTAAGACTAGTTATTTTCTATTGTCTTTTTTAATGCAGTATTTTGTTCTGACAGAAATATCGTTGGTCACAAAGTCTTTTGTATAGCCGTAGAAATAAATGACATACCTGCAGGCAAAAACACCGGTACAGAGCCACAGAAGCTCCCAACCCTTCTCAGAACTTGATCTGGATGAAGTTCAAAAGAAATCATAAATTAGTTTACAAAAAATAAATCACAGACAAATTACTTAAAAAGAGTTTTTAAAAAAAGTTACAGCCATTTTCAATCACACGTTCCCTCTAGCGATTGTTTCTGTCGCGATGAAGAAGGTTTTGGTGGACGTCAATCACAAGACGTTTCCATAACATTGTCGGAAAACACAAAGCTATAAGGGCACGTGCCTATAGAATGTCATGGAAACTCGTCGCGACAGAAACAATCGCTAGAACGGCGCGTGTGTTTGAGAATGGCTGTGAAACGTGATTTGCAGAAACATTAATTTTTCTTTTTAGAACTGGAGTTGAGAATCTTATCTTTGACACCCTTAGATCACATAATCAACACTGCTAAGGTGCTACACAAGAATCAAAATAATGCTGATGAAGCACGTATATTAGTGTGAAGCACGCATGCGCGGTTAACTTACGGTAGCCTGTTTTCTGTTATTTGTTTGATCAGCTGACAGTAGACCTCATCCCGAAGTGGTTCCTGACAAAAAAGAAATTTGAAAAAAATCATTAAATTGTTCAAATTCAAGATGGCGGCTATGAAGTTCAGTAATGTGGTAGATCTCGTATTCCTGTGAAAAATGTCAGAATACGGCACATCACGGTAGCTCCTTCGAGCCAACCTGGGTACATGAAATAACTAGTCACGCAGTGGAAATGTTCGGTCACGTTACCGTTACGTTCAACGACGGTGTATGGCGTCCCTCGTTACCCAAGCCAATACAGTGCGTGACATTACTTGTCATTGACTGACAATGCTCGGTCACGTTACCGTCACTGTCAAGGCACGGCAGGCCCGACTGTAACGTATTTTTTATAAAGTCTTGGCTCCAAAAATCATGTAGAATACATACGTGTTGCAGTGCTGGTTCCAGTATAGCATCAGTTAGTTCAGTGGCTTGTCTGGCTCGCTTAGATGGGTAGTCACCCATGTACTTCATAATAGGTAAGAAATAGTTAAGATCAACAAAATGAGAAATCGGGCAATTCTTATTACTGCAACCACAGGAAGCCCAGCGACAAGTATTTTAGCCCCATAATCAATTAATCAAACACAACTAAACAGGACGTTATCACACTGATTTTGTAACTTGTTTTAAAATGTGTAAAGGATATCTAAGAAGATCTGTGTTGCCTTTTGTGCCAGTTCTTCCTGACCTCCCAGTCTCTTGAGTAGCGGCTGCTTGATAGGATCCTAAACAGAAATTTTAAAAATGTTATAAATATCTCGTTTTCTGATTGGTTGGTGGCGCGCGCTTTATGGTATATATAAGGCTTTCACTCTCAGACCGCGTGTCATTGCCTACAGTATCATTTCTATGTTTAACAGTTGCGCATGCATATAATTATAAAATGAATGTTATAAATATCTCGTTTTCTGATTGGCTGGTGGAGCGCGCTTAATGGTATATACTCTTTTACCCTTCTACCGGTATACACCTAATTGAAAAAACGTTGTCGAGTTCAAAAAAAGGTTATATAATTAAAGCTAAGACCGAATGGGAGCATGGGAAGACAAACAATTATGCTAATTTCATGCGTATTGCAGTTTTCCCTTCCTGTGCACATTTTATGCATCATGGCTTTGGCATGTTGTTAATCTAGGTCGACCGACTTTGCTCTACTGTGCATTTTTACATGTCTATATGCAAATATAATACACATTTCGGAGTACCCAAAATCCTTTTCGGTCTTAGTTTCGATGATATGACCTTCTCGAACCCGACTACGTTTTTTCAATTAGGCGTATATAATGCTTTCACTTAATGCTGTCACTGCCTATAGCATTTTTTTTTTGTTTAACAGTTGTGCATGAGAAGACACATGAATCTGAATACAACTCGAAGAAATAATGTTATTCTCCATGGAATGACATTACGCCCAAGTGAAAAATACCTTAGAGAACGCCCATGGAATATTCTTGTCCTTCTTCCTCACTTGTGTCTGTAGAGTCTTACTCAAGGTTCTCTTGGATGGCGGCAAGAAGTGATCGATGGAGAAGGCCTCCAGGGTGTATGGCTTGTCGAACACCTCTTGGCCTTCAGGATACATGGCTGTCTTTGTGGTTGCTATGATCTTTTCTGAGCTTTCAAGATTTTGGTCACTAAAGGTTATCTGTATTTAAAAATGATGATAGCTATTGTTATGTATAGGACTGAGGCCCGCGTTACTGTGCAAAGCGGAGGAGCAGCGTCTGTTTTGTAAAAAAAGCCGTCTATGACAACACATGCACAAGGATAAAAGACATGGCCGCAAAGTTGGATGACATATCAAAAGAAGCCAAGACTGTCAATCAACATGACAAGGTTGTCACATGCACCCAAATAAGTTTTAGAACAAAACTAAGATTAACCCAAATTGGAGTATAGAGGTTTCTATACAATATATAGGTTTCGCACCATCACGTGCCAACACCCAAAATACAGCTTGGGTTGTCTGTGGTTAGATGATCGCAGAACAATAAAATCCCCTTGCTCTTGAGAAACGGTTGTATTGTTTCTGCCATCTAATATAGCTGCCATCACGTGATGGTGCAAAACGCATATTGCTTGAAATATCTTACCAGGGTGTCCTGTCCAGGTTTAGTCGTGGTAGGAAGAACATACACACATTCCGCGGGGAAGTCCCCGACCTTCCCTGTTCGTTCGCACAGACCCGTACACCAGCCGGAGTTAAGGACAGTTTCTCCGGTATCGTTCTCCAGGACGATGAGATCACCTTTCTTGAAACTGAGGAAAGACGACTCTTCGCCTAAAATAGTAATAAAACATGTAATTCATGAAGGAGGTACAGGAAAAAGTAAATGATTTGTGCCAAGAGGCCATATAGTGCTATTATTTATCAATCGACACGGGTATTTTTTGTTACTCTTAAGGCTCTATTTTTGTTATTTCATTATAAATGCGAGGTCAATATACAGTTATTAGAGAGTTTCAGACTGACTTTTTTTTCTCCCCGCAAACGGCAAACGTGACCACGTTTTCATCGTTTTTCTGTATTTTACTTTACCTTTTACAAAGCTTCTCACCAAGCGCAAATACTCTTTTGTTTTTCTACTACTTGGACTTTTTTGCGATTCTTTTTCAGTAATTTAAAATAATTTTAAAATGGTCAACTGACGTTTCACGTTTGCCGTGAACGTAAATCTAAAACTCTCTATTAACCCGGTAAATAACTATATATAGACCGTTCGCATTTATAATGAGCAACAATTGATAGAAAACCTTCTCAATTGATAAATAAAATACTTAATTACCTCGAACGTCGGCAATAAGCCTATACATCCCTCTGGCCTGCGGCCCTCGGGATGTATATGGCTTATTGCCTCCGTTCTCGGTAATTAACTCTTACTTCTACTGACCTTGACTCTGATAATCTATTAAAGCCACAACATATTTGGATCGATTACGTAAACCATCCCAGAAAAACTGCACCAGCTCACAAATGTCTTCAGCGCTCGTGGAGGTAAAGGTGTACTCGTCTCCTTTGACTGTAGATATTGTGAAGCTTGAGCCCTCCAAACGCTTGGTCCTGAAAGAAAGAAAAGAATAGGATAACCTCGTAACTGCGTCAAGTGATAAGAAAGCAGTGACGCACGGAGGGGGGACAAAATGAGACGAATGGATGGCGGCCATCTTGAATCGCAAGGCATTATGGGACCCCAGGGGCCAAAACGAACCAAAGATGCTGAAATGACAACCCCACGTTACTTGAGAAATTTTCTCAGTTGTGGAACCGTCCATTTTTTAAATTCATCTCTTGTCAAATTTTATTGCTTTAACTTTAAATGTCAATCGATGCCATTTATGTAACAAAGCTTTATATATTTGCTCCCTGAACGACCAAAAATGCCTTGTGATTCAAGATGGTCGCCGCATCGTTGAAGCAGTCATTCCCTCCCCCCAAAAGAATTTAACTTTTTATCTCAAGCACTTTTTTTGTCACAACGTTTGAGCCCTTTATTACTTAAATACTAATGATGTTCCTATAGATTTATTGGGAAATTTCGGCCGCAATGCACACAATGGCCGTAGCTACACAAGTGCGCCAGCAGTAGATCGAATGAAATATTATCTGGAATCATTTTGAAACCTATTTGATCACGTGATTTTAACTCAAATGATTTCTATCAACTTACTGATTACAGTTGACGCGAGCAATATCCGGGAACTGCAGATCTAGTAGCACGTGCTCCTGATCGTCTACTATGTAAACCCCGGTYCAATTGACCGCGATGATGACGTCATTCTTGGGGAGACTGGGTCCTGAGAATTGATAGGCTTCGTAGAAGCGAGAGAACAACAGCGGCCATTTGTAACGGGCATAGTTAACGACGTCTTCTTTGACGACCTGAGGCTCGACTCTTCGTAGAGTGTAATATCCCTGAAAGGTAGCAAGAACAGGTGAGAAAAGGAAGAAAGACCGCCATGTTGGTTGACGAAAACAAAAAAAAAAAAAACAAACAAAGAAATTTTTTTTGTTAAATTTAGGCCCCGTCCACACGTATCCGAAAATTTTTGTAACCGCAAATTTTTATTTGCGGATACGGGTTGCGTCCACACGTGTCCGCAAATTTTTGTGTTCGTATCCGCAAATTTTACGAAAACGGATACGTGTGGACGGTGAAAAAGATTGAAATACGCTGTGTGTGGACGCAAACATTTTCGTATCCGCAAAAAATAATTTGCGGATACAAAAATTTTCGGATACGTATGGACGGGGCCTAAGCCAAGATGGCTGCTTTGATGTCACACATGTAACGAGAAATCCACCGACTCGTACCATAAATATCCAGCACAAAATCGAGACTAACCCTGCGAAAATGAATCAGTAGTCAAGAAACACAGCAGTATTTTATTCGTAAAGGGTCTATTGATAACGATTTCATTCTGGGTTTCGCGTAACGTCATCACCGTCATAGAGCAGTTTTCGTATGACAGTGAACAATTCGATGCCGTATTCGTGCCTTACCTCGATCGCGATGTTTAATAGAATTTTGTTTGCGGAATTATTTTCCGCGCAATGTGATTGGTCTGGCAGTGCCGTGACATTGTCGTGGCCGTGTCAGGACGCCGTGGTCATGCCGTGTTTCGGGTATTTGATTGGATGGAGAGTAAATTCTCGTGCAATGTGATTGGGCTGGCGTATGCCTTGGCGTATCCCGACCGTGCTTGTGTTGTAAGCTTTTCACAGTCATACGAAAACTGTTCTATTGAATAGGCCCTTTGCAGTTAACGGTCACGTGTCTGTACTGGTGAGAAAAATCTTTTATTTTATTTCAAATTGATGATTTTTTTTAGCTACTTGCAAAGAACTATGTGAAACAATGTGTATCCAGTGTTTCACGAAATGCAGTTTTATTACGATTTCTCGAAACAGGTTGTAGAAATTTTGTTTGCTCACCAGTATATTTCACCCATGGGAATCAAGATGCTCATTCATTTGCTCTCAGTGAATTAATCAGCACGTGATTAATGTACTGCAAAGGGCTTATTTACTGCCGTACTTGTGCTTCGTCATAATAGAAAAACAAACATGAGCTTTTGATTCTTTTTTATTGTTCTGAACTTACTTTTCTATGTGCATCGATAATCAAAGCCTGCCAATGCTCAAGCGCGCCTCGGCCAGTTTCAAGTAAAGACTCCGGTAGATATGAGGGTAATAGATTCATTAGCCGGTCAGGAACCATGTCTTTACCATACTCCACGTAATACTGCTTGGCTGCTATGTCTGCAAAGTCTTCATCCTAAGAACAATACAAATAGATAAATAGATTATAACTTTTTAAAAGCGACCGGCATTGATTGATTGATTGATTGAAGACTTTATTTAATGAGTGTGACACATGACAGTAATTTTGTTAACTGATTAACTTGTGGCCCTCGGGTTTTTTTTTTTTTTGGCACGTCCACTGAAGATGGTCGTCACCAGCGTCTTCAGTGGATCTTTTACGTCCGCCTTATACAGGGTTATAGTGAAGACAGACGGGGCCTACGGTTTTAAGTCCTTGTCCGAGAAGACTCGAAGGTCTAACCATTCGCAGATATAATTTCAAAGGCAGCACCTTCTCCTCAGTTATTTTAAAACCCTGAGTGTTGGTCCGGCCAAGGCTTGAACCATGACCTTCCGCACAACAGACCGACGCACGCTCTTACCAACTGAGCTAACCGGGTAGCGGCATCGTTTTACCGATCAGTTATATAATACTTCATCTTACAGTTCTCTTCAGTGACTCAAGTTGAGATTGAAGCTTCCTCGCATAGCAAAACTATACTTTTTATCATAAGCAGCAACTCCAACCTCGGCTTGGAACTATATTATTCTTGGTCACTGAACGGAACTTTAAAATGGAGTATTCTCAAAGATTATTTTTTTGCACTTCGCTTTATCTCTTTTGGCAACCTCTAATATTTCGCGACCAGTTATCAAATTATGAAAAAGGATTTTGTTTTGCACTAATTTACAATTCTCTTAGGCAGTCATCATATATTTAACTAACAGTTGTCAAAGTACAAAACTATTTTTAAAAATCAAAATGGTTTGTTCAATAGAAATTCTCATATGAACAAGCTGAGAAACAGAGAGGAAAAACGGGAAAAATTTCTTGAAAATACGAGCTATACATACTAATTTAATAAGAATACTAGTTGTAAAAGACAACGTTTCGCTGTCATCTCGACAACATCATCAGGTCTAATAAAAACTGTAAACTCTACTAAATATAGCTAAAGTAAGTGTGAAAGTTCAATGAATAACAATTAAATCAAGTGGAAAAATGACAATAAAAGCGCATAACAATGAGAATCAAATGAGAAAACGACAAAAGGCAAAAACATGAAAAAATGAAAAAAATGAAATGAAAACTTTCGCTCTAATAGAGTCTGATTGTTTGTTAAGTTCAGGTTTAGGGTCTTTGATGTATAACATTTCGTAGATCAAGCAATCAAGTTTTCCTCTGCATTTCTTCAGAACATACTAAAGAATAGAAAAATTTCTGAAAATAAGAAGAGAATAGCAAAGAGATATGTTTAAGTCACTGCAGTCTCGAAAGCTTGTAAACGTTTTTCTAGCATTCAATCAAAAATATACCAAACACCGAACAATAGGTAAACTCGATAAAACCAAAACAAGAAAATTAGTTTTATAAAAGTTTTCTGGCATTTAGGAAACTAAATATACGATATAACAAGAAAATAAAAGTGTAAACTAACCTTATTTAATTTTAATTCGCCAAATTTTACAAACTTGGCAAACAGATTAAAATCTCGATCAAAGTCGTCGTAATCTTCGTATATCAATGTTAAATCTCTTAAATCACATTGATGTTTCTTTATTTTCTTTTTTCTTCGTTTTTTGCAAATTGAATGCGACTTTTTTCCATGTTTTTTAGTTATTTTAACTGGGAGTATCCTCATCTTCGGTACGAAATGTAATTCTTTTCAGTCCTGCAACTAGCGAGTTGAACTTGGAATATATTAATGTCGAGGTAGTTTTTTTAATAGCGAAAAAAAAGACTAAAACAATAAGAAAACATCTGCACATTAATAATTAAAATCAAAGACAATTACGAAAACGTAGGTTATTACCCTTTCTCGGCAAGGAAATATTTTTTCATTGTACTTCGTTAAAAAACAATTCTTCATAATCACGGAAAAACCTATAAACAGTTAGTGCAATTATCATCTTCGTTTTTATCGAAAAATTAATATACAATGTGAAATAGTTGTATGAAAAATACGGAGAAAAATTTGCTTTTATCATAAATCCAAAAACATCAATACAAAAAATAGTAGCAAWATATATATATGATTGTTTCAGCAAAAGAAATAACAGCATTTGAATAAATATCTAGTTAATATTAAGATGTGCCTAAGTATTCCTCATCTACACATATTACATTTTCTTCTTTTTCTAATAATTTGATATAACTTATGAAACTTGTAAATGCATTGTAAATGTATATGTGTATGATTGTAATGTATTGAAAACTATTAGCATTAAGTCTTAAATATTTGTAACTGATATATAGACGCTAATGATGAAACTAAACTAAACTAAACTAAACTAAACTATATTCCGAAGTTAGGGCTAGAAATATACTTAACACTTAAATATTGTTTTGAAAACTAAAAGCTAGAGAAAGATAAAACGGAATAATAAAGGTGCAATCCGCCTTTTTTGTTTCTGTTTTCTTATAATTATTATTATTTTTAATGATAATAATAACAATAATAATAATAATAATAA